ACTCTTTAACACTGAGATTCCACCTCAGCCCACAAAGAATGGCTGCTATCAAGAAATCACATAATAACAAATGTTGGCGGGGTTGTGAGGAGAAAGGAATCCTTTTCCACTGTTGGTGGGAGTGCAGACTGGTGTAACCGCTGTGGAAATCAATATGGAGATACCTCAAAGAGCTAGGTCTAGAGGTTCCATTTGACCCAGCCATCCCTCTTCTGGGTATCTTTCCAAAAGATTTAAACGAATCATACCAAAGAGATACACACACATCAATGTTTATAGTGGCACAATTTGTAATAGCTAAAACTTGGTAACAGCCCATCTGCCCATCTGATGGAAACTGGATAAAGAAGATGTGGTTTTCCTATAAAATGAAATACTAGTCAGCCATAAAGAATGAGAAATTAGATTCATTCATAGGAAAATGGATACATATTGAGGATATACTCTTAAGTGAAATAAATAAGTCACACGTGTAAATACTGAATAGTTTCTCTGGTGTGAAAAACTATAATAGTACACAAGATCCTAATGGGGTAATTAAGAATGTGAAATAGGAAGAAGGGGGCTAAATGTGTAGGGAAAGTGGGAAGGGTAGGGAAAGGAAATAAGGGAAAAGAAAAAATATGAGAAAATGAGAAAATGGAAATAAAGAGTTTGTAAATGGGGAGGGGAGGAAGGGGTGAAGGGAGGGAAAGGGCAAGGGGAAAAAATGAGAACCAAGAACCATCATGTGAAGGTACAGGATCCCAGTAATGAATGTAACTGCACTGTAGACCTAGATTATATCAATAAACTCAATAAAAAGAAAAAAAACACCAACTCTATGGAAAGTTTTCATAGCAGGATAAAAGAATGTGAAGGCAGAATTTCACATAATAGAAGATAGGATTGCAGTCAATGACCATGAAAAGAGAGGCCTCTTAAAATCACTAAGGTATCATGAGAAATTGATCCAATAACTCCTAGATGATGCAAAGAAGAATAATATAAGACTGATAGGAATCCATGAAGTAGCAGGAGAAAATACAAATGACTTAAAAAAGCTGTTCACAGAATGAATGACAGAAAATTTCCCAGAGGGGAATAATTTGACATACAGATAAGTGAGGCATATAGGACTCCAACTAGCCATGATCAAAAAGAAAAACCTACACCTAGACAATATAATATTCAAGATCCCAGAAACCCAACAGAAAAACAAAATGCTATAAGCAGTAAGAGAAAAGAAACAAATCACATGCAAAAGAATTCATTAAAAATATCATACACCCTGACCAAGTTGGATTTATCCCAGGGATGCAAGGATGCTTCAACATACGTATACACTGTATTAACAGAATCAAGGACAAAAACTATATGATCCTCTCAACAGATGCAGAAAAAGCATTTGACAAAATTCAACACTCATTCATAAAAAAAACCCTACAGAAAATTGGAATAGATGATCTTTATCTCAATTTGATAAAGGCTATCTATGAAAAACCAACAGCCACCATCATATTTTTTTTTCAGCTTTGAGTTTATTGGTACATTTTAGGGATACAGTACAGTTACATTCATTGTTGGGATCTTGTACCTCTATATGACAAGTCTTGATTCTCATTTTTTCCCCTTACCCCTGCCCTCCCTTCACCCCCTCATCCCCTCCCCATCTACAAACACTTTATTTTCATCTTTTCATTATCTCACATTTTTTCTTTTCCCTTATTACCCTTCCCCTACGCATCCCACCTTCCCTACACCTTTAGCTCCTTTCTTTCCATTCCACCACCATATTAAATGGCCAAAAACTGAAAACCTTCATGTTAATATCAGGAACAAGACAAGGATGTCTACTGTCACCAGTCCTCTTCAATATAGTTCTGGAAACATTAGCCACAGCAATTAGCCAAGAGAAAGAAATTAAAGCAATAAAGATAGGAAAGGAAGAAGTTAAACTGTCATTATTTGATGACTACATGATACTTTACCTAGAAGGCCCAAAAAACTCTGCCAAAAAACTTCTAGGCTTAATTGACAGATTCAGTAGGGAAGCTGGATACAACATAAGCACTCAAAAGTCAATTGACTTCTTGTACACAAAAGACTCATTGACAGAGAAATTAGGAAAACAATTCTTTTCACAATAGCATCCAAAAAAATGAAATATCTAGGAATCAGTCTAACAAAGGACGCAGACGACCTCTACATTGAGAACTACACCACAATGAAAAAAAGAGATAAAAGGGGACAGAAGAAAATGGAAAGATATCCCTTGTTTTTGGGTAGGAAGAACTAATATAGTGAAATTGGCCATACTTCCAAAAGTGTTATAAAGATTCAATACATTCCTCCACTGAAATCCCAAGAGTATATTTCACAGAACTAGAGAAAACAATCGAAAAATTAATTTCGAACCAGAAGAGACCTAGAATAGCCAAAGCCATTCTAGGCAACAGACAACATGGCCAGGGGTATCACAATCCCCAACTTGAAACTGTACTACAAAGCCACTGTGATAAAAACAGCATGGTACTGGCAAAGAAACAGACCAGAGGGTCAGTGGAATAGATTAGAAGATGCAGAAGCAATTCCAGATGTACTCAGCTACCTCATCTTTGACAAAGGAGCTGACCATCCTCACTGGAAGAACGATAGCCTCCTCAATAAATGGTGTGGGAAATACTAGATTTCAACCTGCCAAAGATTAAAAGCAGACCCTTATCTTTCACCATGCACTAAACTAAAATTCAGGATGATTACATATCTAAATATAAAACAGAAATAGTAAACTTTTGGAAAACAAGCTTGGTAGAACTCTCAAAGATATTGGCATAGGAAAAGACTTTATGAACATATCCTCAGTAGCATGGTAACTAGCACAAAGAATTGACAACTGAAATCTCATATTTTAAAAAAGCTCTGCATTGCAAAAAGAAATTACCAACAGAGCTAAGAGACAACCTACACTGTGGGAAATTTTTTTTTTTACCAGCTGTTTCTCAAAGGCTTACTATCTAGAATATAGAAAGAAATAAAAAATCGGGCCCCCCAAATATAAAGACTCAATTCAAAAATGGGCATCTGAAATGAACAGACATTTCTCACACAAATAAAAGCAGCAAATAAATACATGAAAAAATGTTCAACATCACTCATCACCTTTCTCCATTGTTGGTGGAGTGCAGACTGGTGCAACCACTGTGGAAATCAGTATGGAGATACCTTACACAGCTAGGATTGGAAGTCCCATTTGACCCAGCTATCCCTCTGCTGCCTATCTTCCCAAAATAAAAGAATCATATTACAGTGATATATGCTCACCCATGTTTATAGAGGCACAGGTTGTAATAGTTGAAACTTGGAAACAGCCCAATTGCCCATCAATTGGAGACTGGATAGGGAAGATGTGGATTTTTTATAAAATGGAGTACTACTGAGCCATAAAAATGAGAAACTAGAGGCATGCATAGCTAAGCTGATGCACATTGAGGATATACTAAAGTGAAATTAATAGGACACATGTATAAATACCGTCGTAGTTTCTCTGGTGTGATAAACTAAAAGTGTAAATAAGGATCAAAATGTATAATTGATATTTTGTAATAGGAAGAAGAGCTCTAAAAGTATTGGGCAAATGGGAGGGGGAGGGGAAAGGTAAAAGGGGAAGAGAAAAAATAAGAGAAAAGGGAAAAAATGGAAGCAAAGTCTTTGTAAATTGGGAAAGATGGAGGGGGGAAGTGAGCCTAGGGGAATAGGAAAAAAATAAGAACCCTATTATGTTGTGTGAAGGTACAAGATACCATTGATGAATGTAACTGTACTGTATATCTAAAATGTACCAATATAAAACATTTTTTTAAAAGAATACTTTATTCTCACAAATCTGGGTTAGCTAGATTAGACTGGGTTTCACTAGGGTTGGTTGATCTCTTTGGCTGTGCTCCTTCTCTTGGGTTTATCAGGTTGGTTTAAACACGGCAACTGCAGAGTTAACTTCTTTCTGCAAGAAAGAAATTCAATTGCTAAAGTGCTTTTCAGACCCCTGCTTCATCTTCTAATATTATGCAAACCAAAGTGAGTCATCTGAACACAGCAACATGAGTTGCAAATGAGGAGTTGGGACTAGATTTTTTTTTTTTTTGAGACAGGGTCTCACTATGTAGTTGAAACTGACCTGGAACTCACTAGGTAGCCCAGACCAGTTTTGAACTCACAGTGATCGATCCTCCCACTTCAGCCTCCCGAGTGCTGGAATTACAGGCGTGCGCCACCACGCCCGGCTTGGGACTAGATATTTTTGAACAATAATCCAAGCTGCTATATACCTTTTCCAGGAGGAGAAGCATTCAGGCATTTCCCCCAGAGATTGAATAGTCTTCCTTTAGGTTGTCATTCAGAGTTTGGAAGGGAGATGCTGCTATCTGCACTTTGAGGATGACAATTCATAAAGTAGGGTTCTCTCTTGCATTGTCAAAGATTTAACATCCCTGATTCATGCCAGTGCATCTTCATGATGCAATACAAAACACTCTCATATATTTCCAAAAGTTTGCCTGTGGATTGGGCCAACCTGAGCCTTACTTATCTCTTGTTAAGTATTTTTGCATATTGTGTTGACTAACCAAGCTGAACTAGTTATCACTTGCCATGTATTTGTATTGCTTTCTGACCTTTTTCTTTGCCCTTGAATATACTGTATTATTCTCTTGGAATTTCTACAGCCAAAAATTTACCTCTCTGCTCTTGCTACCCTCTTAGGGACGCATCCTTTGATCTCCATAGGTAGAAGTGACCTATGTCTCCTTTCTCTGAGTTGTCATAGCTCTTCCCAATATCTAGAGCTTGGGGGCTTTGCAGTTTTATAGGCAGAAAAAACAAACACATGATATAAGAGGAAAATCCAGCAGAGCAACAAGGAACTAAGAAGCATTTTAAAGATACCACATTAAGAAGAAACATAATAAATGAGGGCATCCTGGAGAGCATGATTGCAAAGGATTCATGCTGGTCCCTTAGCAATGGGTGTTAATCTTAATATACAGGTAAAAGGTAGGAGGCAGTCTTGGCAATGATAAGAGCCAGGTGAGGGTTCCACACTTCTGATAAGGACGTAGAAGTGAGAAGAGTCTGAATAAATGTAGAAGAGAGTGAAAACCTGAGCCAACTGGGATTGGGGGAGGGGTTAGAAGTCATGAGGGATGAAATTAGATTATGTGGAATGAACCCTGGTTACAGGATCCCAAAGTGCTAAAAGTGATTGGAAGTTTCAAGTGGAAAAATGACCTAAGTAGAGAGGTCCTGAGGGCAGCCTTCCTTCTGTGGGCAGGTTGCGTTCCAGATGGCACCTTTGACCCAGTAGGACTCCAAGGATGAACTGTCATCTGGCCTCATGGAGAGAAAGTCTGGGCCCAGCTGTAGGGTGGCTCTGATAATGAGGAAAGGGGATGAATCTTGGGTAGCTTGAGGAAAAACAACTCTTGGTACCAGCAGGTGAAGGAAAACAGTCAAACATTTTGGGGTTTCCAGAGTAGGTGATTTAGATTTGCCAAACCCAGGGACAATACCTTCTTTTTAACCCTCAGGGGAAATTGCAGGACACCAAAAGGCCAAAGATAAATTAAAAGTCTGCTCCACAGCCCTGTATTCTCTTCTCTACACCTTTCTTTATAATATTTAGTTGTGTACATTGCTGGTTTCAGCCTTCTGCGTATGTAGTTTTGATTCTCTGCTAGGGAGATTTCTTTTATCCTGTGTCAAAGCTGATCTGGACCTTGTTGCTCATTGTACACAGTAGATTTCCCTATAAGTAGGCACCACCCCAAGTGGAAAGGGAGGTGTTTGTTTTCCTCTTGGCAGAGGGCTTTGCTTGTGCTTCAATCCTCCATTTGCAGATGGCTGAAGAAAAGGTTCTTTTTATAGTAAAATGAGAGAGCCAGCCAGCCCAGTACATATTTGGATAGTGATTTTTTTCGTAAGAACCTGCAACATTTCATGATGTCACTGTTGAAATAATACATTTGTCAAAGATGTTAACAGTCATTATTATTTAAAAAATATTACATGATGAAAGTTGCAGAGTCTTAAAAGAGAATTTGACCCATGGTCTCTTGAAACGGGAAAAATGAAGAAAAACTATTGAAGATGGAGATACTTTTAAGAGACTTAGATATGTGTAAAAGCATGTTCCTTTCTTTTTGGTGTTGAGGATTAAATCCAGGCTCTTGAGCATGCAGGGGTGAGTGTTCTATCACCAAGCTATGCCCTCACTCCAAAAAGAAGTCATAAACACTTTACTGTGGATATTTTTATCTTTATATAGTACAAGTTATGTGCATTATTTTGTAAGAATTTTGAGATTGGCGCTGGCACACACTGTGTGATTTGTTTTGAGACAAGTTCTCTCTATGTAATTCAGGCTTGCCCTGAATGCACTATGTAGCCTAGGCTGGCTTTGAACTCATGGCAATCTTCCTGCCTCAGCCTCCCAAGTGCTGGGATTATAGGTGTGCACCACCATGCTCAACCTGGTGTGATGTCTTTTGACCATCATACCAAATAAAGGCTTCCACTAAATTCTAAATTTAGTGCATAAATAAAAGTCAGTATAATATATATTATTGTAATCTATAATATTATAGGTATTATTAAAGTATATAGAGATATCACCTCATACATTTAATATATTAATATTGCTTTTATCACTCTGTTCTCATTCTAAGCCTTTCTTTCTATTTTTGTTTGTTTACAGCCCGTCCAACAGCTATCCTGGCTGACTTAGTATTCTCCACTGAGGAGTTCAGCAGGGTGAACTTCCAGCAAGTTGTCAACTTCCTGAAGACCACTGTCAACTCCCTCAGCATCCATCCTGATCTTTTAAGAATTGGTTTGGTCTTCTATCATGAGGAACCATTATTTTCCCTGGATGTATTTCAGAATGCAGCCCAAATCTTGAGGTATCTAGACAACCTACCAGGGAAGAAGAGGCAGGGCAAAGACTGGGACTGCTTTGGATTTCCTGAGAAGGAAGTTTTCATTCAGGAGAGGGGCAGCAGGTCTGGGCAAGGAGTGCAGCAGATAGCTGTGGTCACTGCTGATGATTTCTCTGCAGACATTGTCTGGATGGCTTCTCGCCTCTGCAGGGCTGGGGGTCACTGTTTAATTGGCGGGCATGCAGCATTCCTCTACAGGCAAGGACCTGGAGGAGATGGCCACATACCTTCCTGGGAAGTATCCATCCTCCTCAATCCTCCCTACAGCTCTCTATTGTGGGAAGCAAGCTTAAAACATGCTGTGCCCTGAGACTGTAAGGCTAAGGGCTGTTCCTCAGATGGGCAACACCCTACAGGAAGGTAAGAGGGCCTTTCCCAAATTCATCTCTCTCTCTCTGTCTCTCTCTCTCTCTCTCTCTCTCTCTCTCACATCTCTTTTTATTTTTAAGTGTGAATCTGTCTGCTCCCCATTCCTACCTTTTGTATCTCCAACCAAAGAAAAAAAATTGAATTAATTTATTAAAAATCAGAAACCCAAGCTAGGTGTGGTGCTACAGGCCTGTAATCACAGCACTCTGGGAGGCACAGGCAAGAGAGGATCACAAACTCAAGGCTAGCCTGGGCAACTTGGTGACTTAGTGACTCTGTTTAAAACAAACAAACAAACAAACAAACAAACAAAAAACCCAACTGGGGAATAGCTTAGTGCAAAGGCCCTAGGTTTAACCTTCAGGGCCACGAAATCAGACAACCAATCAACCAACCAAACAAAAAAACCCATCCAAAGCCCTCCAAAAACAGAAACCCCAAATTTGGAAAGTATAGTGTCTTGATTCTATGAAGAATTTGAAGCAATTAGTGAACACTCCACTTTCTTCCTGTTTCCCTCTTTGCCCTTTTTAACTCTCTGATGAACATATGTGTATGTTTGCATAGAAACCCTGGGAAACTTAGAATGGACTGATACAAATCTACATAAATAAACATTAATTTGCCAGTTTTTAAGTGTAGAATCAAAGCAATTTTAAGTTCTAGTTCTTTAAAGTGAGAAGAAAATCTAACCACTTTCTGAAACAATGCAAAGACAGACATCTTTACTGATTTTTAGCATCTCAGATATTCATTCTTTCATCATCCTATCTAGTACAGTAGCAATTTTTTTTAACACTTGCCTATATTACTTTCTGAGCAGTTAATCTGTTTTTCACAGTTACAATAAGCTTCTTTTATTCCCACTCATATCCTATTGAGTTGCACAGTATTTAATGAATAGTGCAATTGTAATAAAACTGCCATAAATGGCCTGGGAACAAATCCACCTCCACCATAGTAAGCAGTTCTACCACTGAGCAAAGCACATTGGGTCACCCAGTGTTTGGTGGGAAAATCACTTATGTTTTGCAGGGGAAAAGGAGAACAGCAATTTATATGGTGAGTTACTTAATGGAGGGTGGTTAGGGGAATTTCTACTGTATATGCAGTTAAAAAAAAGAACAAAAGAAATAGATATGTATATACACTTTGGAGTAAAAATACATAAATTTTAAACCACAAATTTGACACTTACTAGCTGTCTGTTCACTTATCTATTTTTTGTTCACCCATGGCATTATTTCTTAGATTCAAATTAGAATTATAAATTTAAATTAGAAACATTTAAAAGCAGATAATTTACTGAAAAATTCAAGGCTGTGATTATATCTTCAGGGGAAAATCATTGAGCTTTAAAAAATAAAATACAAAAATGACCTTGTAACCTCTTGATTACCTAGAAGTATAAAATTCATAAGTACGTTTCCATCTTTGTCTTTTACCTGCAACATTAGTCCCTGTCTGTGTTCTTGGAGTGAGAAACAAAACTGTTAAAGATGAAATTTATTTCTTTGTATACTCCCTGTTTCTATTCTGTGTGGAAGAAGGAGAGAAAAGGAATCTAGCTGTCTCACAAATAGTACCAGGAGCTCAGAGTTAACGTCTTTGCCAGACACCATTAGTGGCTAAGAAGAAATCTAGAACCAGAAAATCTGCCCGAAGTCTAGAGGAGTTAAGGGTGGGGGAAGCTTACAGATAAATAGAAGCGTTGATAATTTTACCCGAACGTTATCCTGGATGATTATAATATCTACTATTTATTGGTCATTTGATATCTATATCTATATGGCACTCTGCTGAACACTCCATCTGTGTTGTAGATGTTCCCTCCTCCCCTGAAATCTCCATTTTCCAAGATTGGCAGGAATGTACAGCATCAGGTGGTATTTAGGGCCCTCAGCTCCTCTCAACAATGCAAAGGCCGTGGGTTGTAGTGGGTCCTGTATGGGTCACTGCTGCCCGAGATATCCCTTCTGCACAGAGGTCGTTTCTCAGACTCCAGGCAGCCCTCTACCTGTCACCAGTGTACACTAGGTAGCAGCAAAGTTTTACGTTCTGCCCTAGTATTTTTAAATGTTCCCTCCAGTCTCCAGGATTTAACAAACACCTACTCACTGTAAGGGTGGCTGCTCCTCTACCCCTTATGCCATGTTCCTTTCCAATGTGTCACCCCCCTAGGGAGGGTTGCCAGAAGAAATATAGGATACCCTATTAAACTACAATTTTATGACGATAAACAATAAGTAGCTTTAAAAAAGTATAAGTGGGTCCCCTATACTGCTTGGATGAGGGTTCTCCCAAATGAGAGAGCCTGAGTGGGGGAACCTACTCCCAGTGTAGAACATTTCCCCATCATCCTGGAAGCACGAAGAGGCTCCAGTGTCTTCCCTGGGTCAAGGGAGTCCAGAGATTAATAGCACTGAAGGAGTGAGGAGAAAAGCATGTGAATTCTTTTTGAAGAATCTGCCAAATGACAAAAAACAAAACACTAGGTTATCTGAACCCTAAGATTTTACTACTCAACTCTGTTGTATTTCCATGATTTTACCTAAGTCTCACAATAGCTTCTTGAGAATGTGTGGACATTCTTGCTTGACAGTTGAAGAAATTCACATATAAAAGAGCAGGTCTGCTGCTAAGTGGTTAGAGACAGGATCTAAATCTGGAGCTTTTTTTTTTTTTTACCCTTTTGAGTCTAGGCCTTAATACAAAATGACTTGTTTAAGCAGAGCTCATTTAAAACCTAAAACTTTAAATGGGTTTGGATCAAATTAATTTAAATTAATAAAATTAAACTTCAGAAGGTGTACTCTTTTGTCTGAGCATTTAAAAAGTGCAACTTGGATGGGAAGAAGGGTGATGGAAATAGACAATTTATAGCTACAAAGATCTGATGAATTTTTACTTTTACTTTGTTCTCAGCATCCCAATTTGAGAAATGCCAAGACATATTTGGTTCATGTGTTCAGAGAGGATGATCAGAAAAAGCCTCTGAAACAGGATGAGGATGTGAGTGATTATCTAGTGGTAACTCCAGGGGACACTGGTAGGCCAATGGGGGTTTGAGGGTGGAAAGGGAGACAGCCACTAAGGGGTGATGGGTAACCCACAGGTTATTGCTGTAGGCAATTCAGGTTCTTCTGAGACCTCAGGGAAACTGTAGAACTCTCCTACCACTTGTCCTATCCAGAGAGTGAGGGAGTTGGGGTATCCATCCAACCCCTCCAGTCATTGGTCGGTGGAGCTTCCAGACTCTCCCAGGCTCTCTGGAAGAGACATTATGTTTGTAATATGTTGGCTAATCATATGCCTGACCAAGAATGCCTAGGGGACACTGAATGCTGAGGGAATATGATAAAGATTGGTATCAGTGGGCTTAACCATACACCCCTGAGATCTGTTCTTACAAATGTCCTTTCTTCTCATTGGCCCAGTGTGTGTGCACATTGGAAAGGCAGACATTTACTTCCTAATTGATGAGTGTGGCAGCATCAACCCAGAAGATTTTCTCAAGATGAAGACTTTCATGAATGAGGTTCAACTGAATTGGAACATATAGCACAACTTACTAAAAGGCTTGGGCATATCAACAGGAAATAGAAGCAGAGAACAATATCACTTTGACAGCCTCTCATAAAATAGAGCACTCTGTATTTTCTATGAGCCTCTCTGCTTTGCTGGCAATTTACTTCCAAGTGGCCAAGGTCATCCTTAATCCCCTTTTTTCCCCTCAAGCTTTTCTCCAAAACGGGAAGGCTCAGAGACAGGTTGTTCCTTCCTCTGACAGCTTGGGTCTACTCTTCTGTTCTTTCTTTAAGTCTTTCCTTTTCAGGGGGTGAAGGACCCAGAGTAACTCTTCATGAAAGACTTACTTTCTATGCACAAGGAATGAGATTTTTACAGCAAGGTGTGTTATCATTAGAAAAGTTAACTTTTAAGTGGTGTTAAATGGTACATTTTTTATTTATCAGGGGCTGTTCTAAGGGTTTCCTACGTTAAAACCTTTTTTTTTTTTTTTTTTTACAGGAAGTC